ATTGGTGTTTGAGGCGCAACGACTCAGTTGAAAGGAAAACAAGGTTCAACGACGAAGAAGAAGACCGTAGGCTATGGTTTACTGGTGGTTGACGGGTTGAGGCGCAGGGGTGACCCAGTTGTGATGACCCAGAAGGTCAGTTTTGAAAATTTTGAACTATTCGTTTAACTTGAGTTAATTAATTGATGGGTAATTGTAGTTGATTGAATTAATTGATAGTTAGTGAGCTAAAGTGATCTTTTATTTAAGATCATATACCATTAGGGCCATGTGTTAAAACAAGTTAGTGGATTGTGTCAGTTTTAATAAACAGTTTATTAAGAAAAGAAAGGGAGTCAAACTTTAACTAAGCGGACGCACAAGAGAGGAAAGGGAAAGAAATTCGATCTCCAGGTAACAATTAGTAGTACAAATTTATCATAATTGTTTTTATCTAATTGATTATGTGATAAAAGGGAATCTTGTATGAATTTGAGAATTTGGTTTAACGGAGTAGTTAATGTTCTCTTCTGATTTAGTGTGTCATTTGTATTTGGTAAATTTGGAGGCTAGGTAAGGACGAAATTAATGGTTGGCATTAGAGAGGGTAATGATAGATAAAAGAATAAAAATTATGTAATAGAGATATTGGATGGGAGTTAAGGTATATTGTTGTATGTTTGATAAAGTGGACCGGGAGGCTATTCTGGAAATTTAAGGCAAGTAGGTTAATTGAATAGATAATGATGAGCCAATCATTGGATTGGAATAAAGAGTGAGAATTGAATAGTTGTCAGTACGTTGTTGGGGTTTAACAGAAGGGAAATTTGAAGTGAAAATATAGTGGGTGTGATTGTTGTTAATGGCATTATGCAATTATTGTCAGGAACGGATAATTTGTTGGGATTTCGTGAGTTTTTCATGGTTCTGCCATGAATTTGTGTGACCGGTTAGATTTCATAGTTAGTTGTTCTTATTTTAAGTATCATATTATAAATTAAATATGTAATTTATTGAGATAGGAAATTAAATATTGGGTTATCGAATTGTATAAATATTTTTAGACTTGTGATATTGGAGAAGTTGAAGCTTAACCCTAGGCTTGAACCTTAGAAACTTGATTATGAATTTGGGCGAGTTTTTGGGTCTAGGCTAAACCTATATTAATGTGAGTGTTGTTAGCTTCGAAATCTTATTGTGAATATGCACTTGAATAGATTGCATTGAATTGGAAGCTCAACATAAAGGGAAGGCTCAAGTCTCAGAGTGATTATTCGGTTATTTGAGACAAGTGGATTTCTAAACCCTTGTTAAGTGTAATGTTGTGGTATATGTTTGGGAGTAATGGGAATTGGTGATGGGTTGACTTGTCCACATTGATTAATTCCAATGATGAAAAAAGGGTAATAAATGCAATTGGATTAATTGTTTGTGTGTGATGTGTTGAGAATGGTTTGAAAGGCTTGTTGAATCATTGTTGATGTTGTATCATGATTGTGTTGTTGTGAATTGTGCAATGTTATGAAAATGGTCATCTCCTCATTATTTGTGTGAACATGTCATTTGCTTTGTTCTGAGGCATGGTTGTGATAAGTGTTATGTAATAAGAGGATGTACCATTTCGAGGGACGTATCGCGCGCCGCGATGGATACTATATTTCGAGGGACGTATCGCGCGCCGCAATGGTTACTATTATCAAGGGTCGTATCGCGCGCCGCGATGGATGCATGGACAAATATGTCCCCCATGGGTCCCAAACTGAGAGACATCGGGTGTGTATCGATAGGTCAGACATCCATCACTATACTTGACATTACATTTCATCGCATTGCATATTTTATTTTATCATTGATGAACTTGATCTTGTGTGTTGCTGATATTGTGAGTGCCTTTCTGTGAAACTTGTTATTGATGAATATTGAGTTGTTATTGAGAATATATAATCTGTTATTGTTGTTGAGCTGTATGCTTTGTAAACTGTGAACTGTTAGGTTGGGCTGGTTTATGCAGGTTGTAGTTGTGGAGGTTAGGATGGGGTGTAAGGAGTATCCGTATTCTTTTCCCTTAGCTTGTGCTTAGAGGTTTGCTTGTTGAGTACCGTGTGGTTTGGTACTCACCCCTTGCTTTTACATTTTTGTAGGTTATGAGCCTGGATCTTCGTGATACCTTCTATTCTCTTCGTTTCTGAGGCTTTCTGTGGAGATTTGTGAGGTAGTTGTTTGTCTTCTCAGCGAACCTTCTTACTCCTATTTTATGATTTTGTTTTATTTGAAAGACAACGTCATTTGAGACTTACACATTTTATTTCAATTCTAGTATTTACATTAAAGGTTTGTGCACGTGACAACTAGGTTTTGGGGATTGAATTAAGTTTACTTGTTATTCATATTAGTAATTGTTATTGGACTTTTGTTTTATTTCCGCACTTTATTGATCTGATTGGGTTTTAGGCTGACTTGTCTTGGTGGGATAAGACGAGTGCATCACATCCATTTTTGGGTTGTGACACCAGTGCAAAGGGGAGAAGAAGAAGAAGAAGGGGGTGGGGGTGGGTTAATTCAAAAATAAAATTATATTTTCTTAAAATTCCTTTTGTATTATTTAAATAGAGTTTTTTTAAAAAAAAAAAAAATCAATCGCCACGTGTCGTTGTCTCATTAGTTCATTTGCTATGTATATGCGATTAAGATGCATGCACTATTGTTTTTTTTTATTATCATTTTGTTTTAAATAGGTATAAATTTGTTAAGATTTAAGTGTTCAATAGGTACAAAGCTAAATTGAGGTGTCTAAGTGAAATATGCAGACAACTTTAAGGGGTTGCATATGACTTAAGCCTATATGAAACAATCATTAGTGATACCATGCCATCATATGATGGTCTTATGGAGGTGTCGCTTAAGGATTGAAGTATATACACATCAACGATATCATAACAATATATAGATATATTGTGATGGTATCATTACGGACTGAGTCATATCATGTTAGTATATAGATATATAACGAGGACATCATGGAGGTCATCATAGAGGTCTCACTAAAGTATTGAAATATATATCAATGATACCATGAAAGTGTATTGATATACTGTGATCATATCATTACAGACCGAAGCAAATGAAAAAATAATTTAAAAAACGAAAAGAAAATTAAATGAAATGAGAAAAATTAAAAAACAAAATATAAAATGACCAAAATATGAAATTAAATTGTGAGGAAAAATAAAGAATCTTATGATTTGAAAAAAATATGAATGAAAAGGGACAAAAAATAATAAAGAATAAAAAAATAATCAAAAAAAGAGAAGAAAAAAAAGGAACATAAAATAAAAAATTTAAAAAGAAAAAGAAAAAAAGAGAAATTAAAAGGATCCAATAAAGAAGAAAAATAAAAGCAGGAAAAAATAGATAAAAATAAACGAATAAAGAAATAAATAAGAAGAAGAAAAAGAGTATATAAGATAAAAATTGAACACGAATGAAATTGTAATGTTAAACGAAAATAATGAATAAAGTAATTTGAAAAAAATAAAATGATAAAAATGCATAAATAAATGAAAAAAAAGAAAGAAGTATATAAATAAATGTCGAGTATAAATTAAATTATGATATAAAATAAAATAATTTGAAAAAATTTAAATGAAGTAATTAGGTTTCCCTTTTTAAATTGGGTTAAATTCTGTCCAGGTGGTTCCCGCCCGTATACCTCACCTCTGATGTTGCGGTGCTGAGAATCCATCGACCCAGAAACTACAACTACTTACCTTAAGCCTTGTGGCAAAGAATCCGCATCCCTCCTTAACTTGCAATGGCGTTCTTCACTTTCTTCCTCAATTCCCTAGAATCTGAGTTTACTCTGCATTTCTCTATTCTCCATCAAATCCACAATAACACCTAATTTTTTCTTTGCCACAAACAGAGTAAGTTCCCTTCCTTTTATTGTTATTTTAAAGTAGTACTCGATTTTTAGTTTTTTGTTTCAGGAATTTTGATCTGGTTGTAGCTTCGTCTTCCCTATGCATCCACTGTACATTGAATTGAGTTCTTTTTCTTTAGTGGCTTCACATCATTTTATACGAAAATATAGCGGAATGGATATAAAGGATTCATAGAGCTAGCATCAACTTATTTGGGAGTTAGGAGTAAATCGAATCAATCATATTATTGAATGAGTTACTTTGTTGTAGGCTTGTTATATATATTAAATCAGTAACTACTTCTAATTCATCGTATTAAAGTAATTTGTTTTTTACCCTCTTCCATTTATATTGCCACACTAATTTGATGCCGATACATGTTGGATATATATTTTTTTTTCTTTCCCCCCATCTCATACTTAATAAATTTTACATTACTGTTTGTTGTTTTTTTTTTTTAGTTGGGCGTTATGCGGACAATGTTTATGATGATTCTCACACTATAAAGCACAACCGGAATGACTTTGTATAAGATTGATGCACTTGTCATAGTGACTAAAGAGTTGTACATAAACCCAAGGATGGTGACCCCTCTGCATTTAGGAAAAAAAATAAAAAAGGCAACTATATTAACATTGGGACTTAAATGCCTAAACCGATAAAAGGACTATTGAGCTAAGTTGCACGGACTCTTTACTTTCGATGCCACACCCGTGTCTGATTCTCCAAAAATACACTACTTTTGGAGAATCAGACACGCACCCATTGACATTTTTGAAGAGTCCGAGCAACATAGCTATTGAGACTCAAATGTGAAATCTTGCTACTGTTCACATGAAGATGCATGCTTGTCACTAGCAAGTCCTTCCACATAAGCATTTATATTCAGGAGGGAGTTTATGCTATTAGGCATCTTTGAATATATTCTGAAGTTTAAAACTTGATCTTGATTTCTTGCAACATAAAATAAAGAACAATCAGGAAAGATGAATGCACAGAAAGGCTTCTATATTGCCTCATTAGGCTCAATATTCTGATTTTATTTCTTTTCTGAATGGTTTGTGTCCAGTATTCTGATTAAAACAATGCCAAAAATATTTACATATAAGGACTAAGGAGTATATTGTTTTAAGTTAAGCTGCCTTTTCTCCATATATTAAATACCTTTGTTGAAAAACATTTGTTTCACAGAAGCAGTTGAATATTGCTGATTTTGGGAGAGTTTATATTGACAATCAGAAATGGATGCTTCTGACATTAACAGAAGCTTGGTAAGTGAACTCGAAGCAATGGGATTTTCAGAGGCTCAAGCCACCAAGGCTCTTTGTTCATCTGGTATGTTCATCCTTCTGGTATTAGATATATTATAGGAAAGTCGCTCGTATATTTGCTTAAAAGGTTCAGGAGACAATTATAAATACCTTTTTGCTTCTGGAATAGTATAAAACATTTAGACAATATGGTGGTTAATTCAACCTGATTAAAAGATTCCAGCTTTGTATAGGAAAGTTGCTCAAATTTTCTATTTTGGATGTAGCTCCACAAATCACTTTATGCTTCTACATTAACTTATTAGTTTTATAATGTATTCCTATTTTTGTGCGAATATTCTCTCCATGATTCTGTTTCATATCCTTGAGATGTAAAGGACACGTTGATATAATATTTTTTTACGAAGGAAGAAGGTTTCATTAATAAGCCATCACAGAGATGCAATAAGTACAAAAGAGGTGTAGTAGCTAGCTCCAATACATGAGTTAACTATGGCACTATACTAAGACAAGAGAACTAATGAGTCCAAAAAATTATCAGTACTATTTACTGGGGTTAGAGGATGCTTCAGCTTAAAAAGCTATTTAAACATCTAGCGTCCTGGAAGTGTTTAGAGGTTGAGACTCCATTAGAACATCTACGATTCCTCTCTGCTCAAATAAACCAAAAAATAGTTGTTGGAATCATTTTCCAGATCCCTTTCATGGCCTTATCAACTCTCCAAAAATACCAGCATTCATAAACTTCTTTAGTTGACTGTGGCACTACCCAACTTAGTCCAAAATAGAATAGAATTAGCTCCAAATGTCTGTTGCAGTTGTGCAATGAAGAAAGAGCTTAGTAATAATCTCTGAGCTTTGAAGGCCATGTAGTATCTTTTGACAAACTGAATGTTCTTCTACTGAGGTTACCCGGTGTCTGACAGGCCCAGGTGAAGCAAATCACCTTGACAGGTAACCTAGTCCTCCATATATCCTCAATCTTCTATCCTTCCATTCTGTGCACACAAATGTGACTGTAGCCTGCTTTGACTGTGAACATACTACCATCTTTTGAGCTGTCCCAAGTGATTTTATCTGGCGGTATGTTGCAACCTTCAAGAGCAGCAAGGAGGGTTAGTAGATTCTAGACAGAATTATATGCATGTTTTCTTCCTTGATCCATTTTATATCTTATAATATGGGAATATTTGAAAACTGGGCTCGTTAAAGTCAAATACCCTCATCATATATGCCTTCTTCTTGTATCTAACGACCTGTTCAGCTTTCTCTTGAAGATCTGTGTAGATTTGGTTAATTAGGTCATCTCAAAATAGTTTATGTTGAGATGTACCCTGATGTGATGTTGGATCAACAAAGTTTCAAAGTGATATTGACTAGCTCTTTGTTTTTTTGTGTAGATTTGGTTAATTAGGTCCTCTCAAAATAGTTTACGTTGAGATGTACCCTGATGTGATGTTGGATCAACAAAGTTTCAAAGTGATATTGACTAGCTCTTTGTTTTTTTTTGTGTAGATTTGGTTAATTAGGTCAACTCAAAATAGTTTGTGTTGAGATTTATTTATCCTGATCTGATGTTGGATCAACAAAGTTTTAAAGTGATATTGATTAACCCTTTGTTTTCTTGCAAGTCCATTTATCCTGACAAACCTTGAAAAGGTTTAGAGCCTGTTTGGATGGGCTTATAACTTATGACTTATAAGCATAAGCCAATCCTAACTTATATCTAATACTAATTGCAAATGTGGTCAATTATCCTTTGACCGTCTTTGTAAAATGTGGCCTTGAACTTCCATCTGAGCATGCTTTGAGCTTTCAAATCTTCCTTCACATATCTTCGATACATTCTAAACTCTTTATGCATGAAAGGTTGGCTTCAACCTCATGATCACTACCTTGGGAATTATCACTATAGATGTCTGGTCCAAGTTTTCATCCTTTGGTGCTTTTGCCTCCACCCCAACCCGAGCCCCACCTTCGAAAAAGAAAGAGAGTTTATCTATTTACTAGCACTGACCTGCTGTTTTATCTTTTAGATGTATCCTTTTGTGGTTAACTTAACTCTCCACTTTTATGATTCCAAATCATTACTTTTTTCAGGTAACTCAAGCCTTGAGGCTGCAGTAAATTGGATTGTTGATCATGAGGATGAGACATACAATGATGAGATGCCCATGGTATGTAGCTTAACACTGAATGAATGATGATTGCCTTTCTTTACCATGTACAACAGTGTGTCTGGGTAATTTGATAACTTCATTTGTGACTCGATTGTCACTTTTAAGATGAGAATAAGTTCAGAGAGAGATTAATTTAACTGTAAGTTCCAAATGCATTTTTAGTAATAGTTTCACCTTCAATTGGTTGTAAGATTTGGACATCCATTCAGGACACAGTTGCAGCAGTATGCAAATATGTTCATCTTCAAAGAAGAGAGAGTCATTACTATAGCATGGTTGAAGTATTTGAGAGAGGTACAGTAGAGTACCTTGGGGTATTTTTCCACTTCTCTTGATACATAAGGTAGATGGTGAATTAAGTTCTAATGGCTAGTGCTTACAGGAGATGATTAACTGGAGCTTTCTAAGTTTTATAGTCAAAATTAAGAAGAACATTCTACATCAGATACATTAGTGGTGTCTTTAAAACTAATATGGTGAAAAGTTTAGCAAAATAGGTATGAGAGTGAGAAGTATATTTTGTTTGAGTATGTTTACTTTCAAGTGAAATTAGTTCTCAAAATTTAATAAGCTAAGTCTGTTTTGTTTTTAATATCTACTGTAATTTTGAATGTTGATTTAATGTTTGATTTTTTAATATGTGATTTGTTCCTAAATATGCTTCAAATTTGCAAAATTTTCACCTTCTGTTTTCAAAATTAACTCACATATCCACCATGGAAGCAATGGCTTCTGGATCATCTACAGCATCTTCATGCCTGAGTTCATCGTTTCCACTTAACCTGCAAAGCCTTCTCTGATTCAATTGCAAAGTTAGTACATTACTCGAAGAAGTGATAGCGATAAAGGGGGAAAACTAAATGAAGTTAACTTGTTCGCCATAGTCAAGTTACTTAAGCTCTTTAATAGCTTTGCTTCTTCAATACTGGCAATGATAAATTAAAAATGCTCTGAGTAAAACAGAGTAAAAGTAGCTCCATCGTCAAATCGAAAAAACAGAAACAGAGTCGATAAGAATGGATGATATTCCAGAAAAATTGAGAGTTGAACTAAATCCAGCACACCTTTTGTTTAATTTTCATGTTTCCTATCTTGTATAACTGTCCTATTGTACAATTCAATCCTAGAAGTTCTAACAAGAGAGTTGCATACAGGTTTCAGTCGACATTATTGAAACTCCTACTCCTACTTTTGATTCGGAACAAGCAAAGTTGAAAGCACAAGAGCTGAGGTTTGATTTTATATTAAAGTTTCATGAGGAGGTTTCATGTTTAATCCAAAAACTGGAAACTGCCATTGGAAGTATTAGCTCCTTGCCTCTTGTTTAGATTTTGAAACTGCTTCGGTGTGGTTTAGCTTATGGCTTGTTTTCAGTCTTTCATTACTACATTTTTCCTTTCTGAAGCTTTCGGTGAATGAAAATTCTGCTTTTATAGGGACCGAGCACGCAAGAGGAGAGAAGAGGAAGAGAAAAAACTGGACAAGGAAAGGGAGAAGGTATGGAGTATATTCCTATTCTCGTAAGAACTTTCTCTGGTGTAAGTTCTGTTTCAATGAAGAAAGTTCATTGTCAATATGTTTAATGTGAGAGATCTAATGGCTGTGATTGAATGATGTGATGAACGTTTGATGCATGATTTGATTAGTTTTCAACATGAACTAGTGAATGCAAACCAATGCAGGGATTCTAGGCTCACTGTTCGAGAGATGGCATCACCTTCTAGATATCTCCCACTTATTGGATCAACTTCAAACTTTAGATTCCAATGAGTGACTAATGTCAACCAATAAAAAATCATGCTTCACTAATTACTGGTAATGCAAAGATGTTAAGTCCATGTAGTTTTAGCCTTCAAGCAATTAGGGAAAGATTTCAGGCAGTACCTATTGAGATGATTTGAAATGCATTGACCCAAAAACCCTACATATCTATGATTGAAACTAAACTAACAACCTGCAGCGCGTTGTTGAGCAATGTGCAGTTAGTTATTGTTTCACTTTTTTTTTTTTTTGTGATTTCCAGCTTCTGCTTGTTCTGTCAAATGTTTATACTTGAAACTAGTGCGTATGGTCTCACAGAATTATTAGTGTTCAGCTGTTATATGTGGAGGTGTTTTACTTATTAAAATGTTAAATGTTTCATTTTATTTGCAGGAAAGGATACGTGCAGGCAAAGAATGGCTTGCAACAAAACGAATGGCAGAGGAAAATGAGAGGAAGCGGTATGTTTCTAAGTTGGCGATGTTACTTTATAAAATACCTTGTGCTTAGTTGGTCAAAAATCCTTATTCTAGGTTTCTACACTTTGCTCGTGTTTCAGTTTTGAAGCACAGAGGAAGACCGAAAAAGAGGAGGAGAGAAGGGCAAGGGAAAGAATTCGTCAAAAGCTTCAGCAGGACATGGTATTACTTGTAATTGTTAGTCAAGTTTTGTTGGTACTTGTCCAAACAGTACTAATCTGATGATCAAATGCAGATATGTGCTGTAGCTGCATTTTTTTAGTAAGTTTAGGTATTTACTAGTGCAAATGCAGTTAGATATGATGAAAATTTTGTCGTGCTGTTATCTATTTGTTTATTCTTTATCAAATTTGAATAAATGTAGCCCACTCTATTTTTTCTTGTAAACTGAAACTTTTGCATATTGGTTCGCTATATGGACCTTAGTTCTGTATTTAGTTACCCAACTTCAGATCTTGTTGGGACTGGGATAAGTCGTGAGTTCATGTCCTGACAGGCAGACAGGAGGGCTAGACTTGGTTCGTCTTTGAATAGCGGTACATCTTTAAAATCCATTAAAACCTCGAAGCCAGAGACAAAGGTATTTTGCTTTGTAATTCTGTTGACGGTTCCTAAGATTGATTGGATTCATCCATTTGACTGCTTTTGATTCTTCTCTTTTAAAATCACAATTCATAACTCAGAATCCTTTGAAAGTTGATTCTGCCGTGTTATCTGGTAACTTAATTACGAAGAAAGAGGTTTTGATGGAATGCTTAAGATCTCTCAGGCGTCAGCACAAGGTATCTGATTTTGTCGTCTCTTCTATTTCACTATTTAGTTCTCAATAAGTTTCCAGTTTCTTACAAGACTATGCAAACTAGCTTTTAGCTTCCTTCCTTCTGTTTGCTACAGGCTGTTCAGGAAAGTAATTATAACAATATATGCATTATAAAATATCAAGTTACACCCAATTATTAGATATCAGCTTTGAAAACCATGCTTTATCCAGTATAATCATGTTGCAAATGTTCATATGTTTCAGGAGGAGGATATGAAAGTGCAACGGGCCTTCAAAACTCTGTTAGTTTATGTGAGAAACATCGTTAGCAATCCTGATGATGGAAAGTTCAGGAAGATCCGGCTTAGTAATCCAGCTTTCCAGGTGAATACTTTTTAAGCACACGCTGAAAGAATGAAACTTTACTTCATTTTCTGATACTGTA